TATGTATGTAATGTTAATGTTAAAGTAAATGTAAAGAAGCGTGCTACGCCTATTTTTCAAATGTGTTTTTACTTTACAAAATCATGTGATGAACTTGAACTAATAATCAGGGGCGACTGCTCCCAAGGGGCACGAGGCCACGTGCCCCTCCAAAATTACAACGTCTACAAATACACTGGACATAGCGAAATAGAAATTTTCAATATTTAAAAAATTATCCGGAAATTTGTGTTAGAATTATCAAAACTAATTTTTTTTATCTCGCTCCATTTGTATAAAATGTATCAAAACTTACATCTAAAGATGTTGTTGTTTTGGATATATGATATGTTGCTGAAGTGCTGATAAAAGCGGAGACTAAATCATGCCTCATTTAGACGTTTTGTTTACACCGTTGCCATGGAAACCGTGGGTCTTGTCGCTGTATTTAACTGGAATCGGGTCCTGCTCGAACAGTGACCACTACCAGTAACTCAGTTGGGGGATTTCATTTTCATTCTGCGCGAGTGAAATTGTTTGATTTTAAATAAAAATATTGAATTCAGTTGAATATTTAATTGTCCTCTGTCTTACGATGGTAAAATTTTAATGAAAAATTTAGAGAGAGCCATCCCCGATTTATTAATAAAAAAAGTGTTGATGACAAAACGAGAGACTTTCATGGATATTTTAATAGACATAACAAGTATGGTAAATTTTTGTGGATCTGCGGTTGTGAAAATAATAATAAATTGTTTTGTTTTGTGTGTCTCCTCAGTAATGACTTAAAACCAAAGGTATGTGGACAAGTACTTTTTTACTTTTATTGAATGTATTTTTGTATTTCCGTCACACAATTTCGTCTATTAATTGGTTACAAATAATGACGGTTCCATGTATGTATATTTTTGCTGCGGTTCTGTTCATTAAGGAAAATGAATTCAATTATAACTCTGCACAACATCAATATAACACGCCCAACAAGAACGCATACATCATCAATTATCATAGGCTGAAGAGAGCTAGAGAAGCCACTAGTTACTATGGTGTAAAGTTTTTTAATAAATTGCCAGAACATATAAAGAATTTGCCTTTAGTTAATTTTAAAAAGGTAGTAAGAACTTCATTGATAGAAGGAGGCTTTTACTCCCAAGATGAATTTCTTAACCATAATTTTAGTTCTTAGGTGGAAGGTGGAAACTTACTCAATAATTAATAATTACCCCATTTCAAAAGCTCACGAGCTGCCACTGCTAATAATAACAGTATTTAGAAATTTTCGAGAAACTGGAGTAAGCCGTTCTCGATTTAAACAATAAAATAAACTGCCTCATTCATATTTTTTTTGAGTCACCTCTATAAGCAATTCTAAAAAATATTAATGTAATAAATTACAAATATAGATTCATCATATTTTGTACATTTTAGGTAGGATTTATTTAGCAAAATTTTGATATGACGTCATAAATTTTTTGGGGGGATAAAGAGATACATTTTGATTAAAAATTTACAATGGTTTCAACTTCAAAATGTCTGCAATATTTCAAAGCATTCGGTTTTGCAGTTCTTGATTTAATCAATAAAATAACTTGACTCATTCTTTTTATTATTTTTTTTTTGAGTCAGCCTGTCAGCAAATCTAAAAAATATTAATGACTATAGACTTATCATATTTTAGATAGGATTTATTCGGCAAAATTTTGAGATGACGTCATCAATTTTTTGAGGGGATAATATATCTTAATTAAAAATGTATCATGCTTATGTTAACTTTAAAACATATGCAAGATGTCAAAGTATTCGGTTTTGCAGAATTAAAATTAAATTCTGAAATGTTAAAAATATAATTTTGATTTTTTTCCTAAAAATTGGGACATTTCTGGTAAAAACTCAACACGGATTCATAAACTACACGTGTAGGCCTGTTATTTTATATAATTTAAAACCCATTTACATATACAATTTTTAAGTGACGTCATTACATTGTAGGTGGTGATGATTAAACAAAGTTTGGTTAGCGTTTTACACGATATTCATTATACATAAATAAAACAAAAATCGTCACGGACGGCGTACAGACAGACAGACAGACAGGCGGAAACAGAAGACCCATTTTTGCGTACTGTAGGGGTCATGACCCATCGAAAAAATATCACAGCAGCCAGTCCCCCGATGGACTCGACTACAATAGCGAACACTCGGGAAGTAAAAATTGAATCGATTTTACAGTTACCATTAATTTTATTATTGGTTTACAAAAACGCCAACGTATGTTGATAACTATATGTACCATTATGGACTCACTCAAAATTGTTATTCCCACAATACTCAAAAATATTATCACACCGTCGACGTGTTTCAACTTTCAACAGCTACGCTGACATATCCTGGAGCACAATTAAACTGTTTATTATTTATACACAGTATGAGTTAGTGCCAATGCAATGAGTAACCATTCGGAAAATTTCACTAACAACTCACAAAAAGCAGAAATTATTTAAGAGGCTCACTGTGCAAATTCACAACGTGAATATACAAATTGTCATAGTAGGTTTCATATTTTATGTCCCTGCTATATAATTACGCATGTTCGTTGTACAGGGTGTTTACAAATGATTTACATCTAATGGGTTACCAAATTCATTTATTAAAGTGCCGCTTCAAATTTTTAATATTTTTTGTCTTTCATTTACAAAGGAGAGGGAAAAATGTGTTCAGTCTTTTGAGCAGCATAAATTAAAATTATTTTCTACTATACAGAGTGTTTTGTTTTTGAGGCGTGTCACACAGCTTAGTTTTAACCTTTTTCTATATTTTTTAATGATTTTTGAAATTCTGATTAGGTATAGGTACGTTAGTTCAATTTTCTTGAATTTTTTTAGCCATGCAAGGATTGATAAAAAAAATTGCAATTATGTTATTTTTAAATCTGGTTTCAATATTTTATGGAGAGATAAACAGTATCACGTAAATTTTAATATACAGAGTGTTTATAAAAAAAATTGAAAAGTTACAATATAAATATATAATATAATAATATTTCTGTTTTTTCATATTATTACTGCATCTTACTTTCTGTTCTTTTTCTTTCGATATCTTGGTATGACTCTTAAAAAAGTAAAAAATCGCAATAACTATAAATTTTATATACTATAGAAAATACGTACCTACTTACAAAAAAAAAAAACAATAAACAGAATAAGATGTAGTAATAAAGTATGTGGTGTTCTATTTGAACAATCTGAAATATCGATATTGGACAATTGTAATAATTTAATTTTTGTATAAATCCTCTGTATTATATTAAAACTTAATTTTATTTACACCATAACAAAGCGTGTGCCTTTGTTTATTTCTCCACAAATTATTCAAATTATTGTGACACAGATTTTAAAAACAATCCTATTGCTATTTTTCTGTAAACACTTCCACTATTAAAAAAAATTCAAGATAAGTGAAACAATGTGGCAACGTGGCATCGGAATTTCAAAAATAAACTATGAGTATAATGAGAAAAGGTCAAACGGAATATGTAAAAATATACAGGATATTACATTTGAAAAAATTAAGTAGTGTATTACACTTAAAAAGCACAACACCTGTATATTTGAAAATAATTTCAAAGTATGGTTCTAAACGAATCGTTTTTAACTTGTTTTCTAACAATTAGGGCCTATTTCATAATCAACTTAAAGGAGCTTTAAAATTAAAATTGGATTTTTACCATGGAAACACATTGTTGAGACAATGGTTTAAAGCTCCCATTAGTTAAAGGTGTTTTACGTTTTGATTATGAAACTGGCCCTCATTGAGATATCGAGGAGCGGGCGTTTGGTGACTCACCTTGTATATAACGCAAAAGATTAATAAAAATAATGTTAAAAATCTCTGACTGGTATACGGTCAGGTTTTCCAGGTTATAGTGCAACACGTGAAAGCCAGTGTAAGAGTTTACACTTAAAAAAGCGAAAAATAGAAGAAAAACATTTTTATAATAAAAAAAAATGTGTAGTTACTTCATATTTGTGGTGGCGAAAAATCACTTTGTGAAAATTTAATATGAAGTGACTCGATTCAGTGTGATTAGAATAATATAAGATGATAAATATTATTTAAATTAGATGGAAAGAAATGAGTATACACGTATTTTTATGAATAATAAAAAACATTTACTTTAATCTGTTAGTATAATGTGGTAGGCATTTCTGTTAAAAAAATGTGGTACAGTGATGTTACACGAATGATATTCTATTAATTTATGAATATTAAAGACTTTTAACACTTAATAATCGTTGATGAAAATATGTCTGCTTGGGTCTATCAGCCTTAAAACTAAACTATAGTTTCAACGCCTAAAGCCTTTGAAACATCTCTCAAGCATCCGAGAACTTCTCCAGGTAAGTTTGCCACGAGAAGTTGTGTATTGAAACTCGGCATTTCCATACATGTTGATGGTAAATTACAACTGTTGCCGCAATCTGCGGTCTAGCCCAAATCAAAGGCTCCACCGGCTTTGTGGGGCCCTGAGTAATCTGCCCCCAGGGGGAGCGTTTGTTACAGTATCAGTTCAGTTGATGGTTAGCTGCAAGTGACACATTTGTTAAAAATGCAAACACGCCGCCCCCTTTTGGATGTGGAAGTCGCGCCTCGGGACATTCGCTAATTGAAATTTTAACATTCAGCGTTTAGCCAATTTGCTGCAATTGAATTTTCAACGCAACCACAAACGGCCGTTAATGAAATTATCACGCATTAATTAAAATTTGTTCAATTCATTTCGACGTGCTTTGTGCACCCCACAGAAGCGTTCTCCCGCGGTCATTGTTAAATTTCGCGATATTTTTTCATTTTTCGGAACGTTTCATGTTTTTCTGCAACGTTTAATTGTTTGCCGTGTTTGTGACTTTTTAGCTGGCGTAATTAATTGTACGCTTTTCTGTTTTCACAGGTCAGCAGGTACCCTTTTTAATTTTCTCTAATTACGTATGAATAACAGCGAGAGGGTTTATTTGGGATTTTACCTTTTTTGCTGATGTCGTCGGCCAAGATGGTGGGCGGTGGACTCAGTGGCTGAAGCGGAAACGAAGTGTTGCCCGGCGAATACCATGGCGTCGGTCTCCAACTTCCTTGGTTTCCGTTCAGGAGGCGAAGCTTATCGTATACGCTGTCGTTTCCGGTCGAAACCGGAGGATTCTGAGACGACTGCTCTTTTTGTGCGGCCAAATTTCGCAAAACCCTGTTTATCGACGAGACCTGAAAGGGTACAAGATTTTATCTTTCCTATCGAAAAAATTTTACTTTCCGGGAGAGTTTTTGCGGATCGACACTTTCACTACTTTACAACAACTTTATGAAAAGAAAAATAATATCAAAACTGATTCCAATTTTGAACGCAACTACACATATTGATATATTAATTGTGAGTCAAAAGAAATGACAAAGGTAACATATTTTAATTATAACTTGCTATTTATTTGTTGACATATGTATATAAGTATAAACAATTATTTATTATTGGCTGTTACACATGCATGTTTTAAAATGATATTAAATATTTACTTATTGAAAATTGGAAGCAACCTGTCAACTTACAGTAGAATAAAAAAAAATGTTTAAGGTTGTTATTTCGACAAAACTTCCTTTGCTCCTAAAGTGCAGCTTCAAAAAAATATAAAACTCCTATGAGTTAAAATTATTAATAGATATAGTGTGAATAGTTAAAGTACAGGTAAAGAAGTATCGTATGCATATGTTTCTAGTGACTTTTTCCATATAAAATTGTTTTGATGATGTAATACTAAGTATTAATAACAGTACTGCATCCCCAATTTTCGGGAAAATAGGATGGGGAACAAAGCATGCGCCTTGTTCATTAATTTTTTGATTCACCATGTATAAGCAATTTAAAAAAATATGAATGCATTGATAAACTACAAGTACAAGTATCAAGTATAGATAAAAAAATTGGTCGAAGGCTATTTCGACAGAACTTTCCTCGCCCTTGTAGTACAATCCGACAAATTTAGTTCCTTAAAAAAACATAAAATTTGATTTTACGATTTTTGTTTTGAAATAACCTCTGTAAAGTAAAAACCAGCGACTTAAATAACACCCCCGCAGCCCCTGCGCGGTACGGACAAGTAAAATATATTTAAAGCACTTAACCAACGGGATAAAATGTCCTTCAGCACTAGGTAAAAGCACTCTAAAATTCAAGTATTTATTTATGTTTATACATCGAAAGAATGTCACGTAGAAATTAGTTTCATTCGAATAAGTTTGTTTTCTTAAAACAGGACTAAAATTATGAATTAAACCACAATCGAACAAAATGTTCTGAATATTATAATTCTTATTTTATCACTATTATATAATAAAGATATGAGTATTCTTCACACTTTTGAGAAAATGGGGTGACTCGTTCCTAATTTGACCAATAAAAAATTTGTGATGACGTCATCAACATGGATAGTTTTAGTCAAAGCATAAAAGAAAAAGTAGTTACAGCGTTGTACCAATACAAGAAAAAAAAAGTAAAGGGCCATATTCGGCATTGAACCCACAATCGCAGTACCGCAGGTGGCTATTATCTCCGATACACCCCCTGCGCCACGGAGACGTATAAACTATGTTGGGAATAAAACGTTATTATCCCTTGCAAATGTTTTTGAGAAAATTTGAATGTTTAGCGAAAAAGTGAAAGTGGATTCATACACTACAAGTATATGAGCACCTATATTTTAACATTCAAATCATTTTAAAATACCATTCATTGAAATGGCGTCATCAAATTGTTGGTGGGGATGAATAGATTAAATTTTGGTTAGCGTTTAACTAGGTATATGATATTTCTAATATACATACAAAATTTGGTCCAGCAGTTTCGGAGATTACGTGTTTAATAAAAATGGATAAAGTACTAAATACCCCTCATAAAATAATTGACAGTATTTGCATTTATTTTTTGCCGTACTTTACAGACACCAGGCAGACAGACTGACAGACAGATAGACGGAAACCGGAGACTGCTTTTTTCGTACTGTAGGGGTCATTAAACGTCGAGAAAACATAAAAGTGACCATTCGTCCGATGGACTCTATTACAATACTTCCCGAGCGTAAGCGAATAAAAAATCAATTTTAATTAATGATTTACAAAATTGTTGTTACAACATTTTATTTTTTTTCCAAAAATCTGCATGTCTATAGTAATAGCTCAAAATGGATTCATAAATTACACATTTAGGAGTTTGTTATTTTATAAAATTTAAATTACATTTATTCGGCAAAATTGTAAGATAACGTCATCAGCTTTTAGTGGATTCGTAAATGGATTAATTTTGATTAACGATTTATTATGCGTCCGGTAACCTTCGGAGTATTCGGTTTTGCAATTTCAAAGTTAAATTGTCAAGTGTTGTTATAGAATTTTTATTTTTGTCCAAAAATTTGAATGCCTAGGTTAAAAACTCAACACAGATTCATAAAGTGGAGGAGTATATTATATTATAAAATTTAAATAACATTTACTATTGTAAAAGTTGGAGATAACGTCATATCACAACTAGTGGGGATGATCAGGCAAATTTTGGTTATCTTTTTACCATTTAGACGGTATTTGGAGATTATCGGTCTAATAAAAATTCACACAGACGACAGACGGACCGACAGACAGGCATACGATAGACACATGGAAACGGGAGACAACTTTTATCATACTCTAAACACAGTATAGAGATCACATCATCAGTATACGTGCTCTAATGGTCATGAAACATTGAGAAAACATGGAAGTGGCAAGTCGCCAGATGCGTTCGATTGCTATACCCCTTTGGATTAGGCTCAAAAAGTAAAAATTGGTTGAAGGTTATTTCGACAGAACATTCCTCGCCCTGGAAGCACAATAAAACATGTTCAGCTTTTTTGAAAAATGAGAAAATTTAATTTTACGATTTTAATTTTTTTGTGAAAACCTTTATACATAAAAATAAAGATGTATATGGGATGTTAAAGTAAATGTAAATGCTACATCATGTTTCAAATCACAAATTGACACTAACATTTTTGCAAGGATAGGTATATCAGTTTGGATAGATGCAGTGTCATGCTAATAACAACAGTCTTGTATTCCCAAATTCTCGGGAAAATGAAATCAGCGCTTCCTGATTTAATTAAAAAATAATTTGATTTATTCATTATTTTTTTGAGTCACGGTGTATAAGTCATCCTGCATAAGTAATTCTAAAAAATATAAATGCAGCGATAAATCACAAGTATTGGATCATCATATTTTTCACATTTTCGATAGGATTTAAGGAAACGTTATAAATCACTTATTACATTGTTCGTGGGGAGAATTAGACAAAATTTGATTAGCGTTTTACGATCTACACGATATTCGTGATACACATAAAATTTTACAACAATTGGTCCGCTAGTTAGAGATTATCTAGCTAACAAAAATTGACACAAACGGCGGACAGACAAACAGACAGACAGCCGGAAACGAGAGACCTATTTTTTTCGTACTCGAGGAGTTATGACAGATAAAAGTAGCCAGTCGCTCGATAAACTCGATTACAATACTTGTTTAGCGTACGCTCGCGAAGAAAAATCAAGTTTCATAAGATGTTATCGTATTTTAGGGTACAAATCCCAAAATTAGAAAATGAGTTGTCAGAGAAGTTTTCTATGGGATGAGTGCTCTACAATATCTTATGAAACGAATATTTTGTACTCCTACTATTTTTTTTATTTCGCATTTTTTTCCACTTTGAAATAAAAATTGGAAATTTTAAAATTTTGGAAATTTTAAAATTTTGGAAATTTTAAAATTTTGGAAATTTTAAAATTTTGGGAAATTTTGTAGTGGCTGGTACGACAAATGTGATTATAACAATCTTACGCTTCCTGAACTACGGACAATTGCTCATAGTAGCACTCAATATGTTTCGGCCCAGCAGTGTCTAAATCTATGCTTGTTCGGATGCTCCATAGCTCCACAAGAAGGTACAGTTAAATGAATCTGATGGCAGGTGGAAGTAACTTTGTAATGCACATTTCATCGTAATATTTAATTCTGCACTTCTTTTGACGTTTTTTTTATTTTTTATTTGACAGAGACATTTGCAATAACAACCAATCTTGTCAATATACATACATATATTACAGCAGTTCTATTTGGATTCTTTAATGACTCGGTTATAAAGCGTTTCTAAAAAATAAAACATATTTCAGAAGCACAGTCATGGATCTCACGAGTTAGTTTTCAGTAAATAACACAAGCGTCTGGTGCCGGGGGGCATAAGGGCACGTGTCTCCCCAAAATTACAACGTCCACACACACTTGACATTGCAAAATAGGAATTTTCAATATTTAAAAAATTATCGGGAAGTTTGTGTCATAACTATCAAAACTAATTTCTTTACCTCACTCCATTTGTATCAAATGTAACAAAACTTACATCTACAGTGGAGACCGAGACTAAATCATGACTCATTTACACATTTTGTTTACATCGTTGCCATGGAAACCGTGCCTCTAGTCGCGGTGTTTGAATTGAACAGTGACCGCTAGTAGTAATTCAGTTTTAAATAAAAATAATGAATTCAGTTGAATATTTAACAAAAAATCGTCCTGTGTCTTATGACAATAAAATTGTAGTGAAAAATTTGGGGAGAGCCACCCTCGATTTATTAATAAAAAAAGTGTTCATGGCAAAACGAGAGTTGTGTCCCCCTATTTCAAAAGGTCACGAGCCGCCACTGCTAAATAGATGTCTATTAAATAATGCCTCGAGATGACGCTATCAACCTCCTGAAAGGAATGAACGAAAAACATTACTTGATGTTCTTTCTATATCCCTGAATTAGTGTTAGTTCCTGTCGAAATATCGAAGTAGTCTGTTACGTAACCTCTGAGGCAGATTTAAACCATGTAAGTATGTATACGGCAAAACGGTGTGCACTTCCGAACGTAATGTCTGTAAAAACTGAGTTCGGTTGTTTGTACGGTTTAGTATAATTTAAGAGCGTAAAAACATGTTAAATGCCGTACATCATCTGATTTCTTTTAAATTATTACTACAGTTTATCGACTGTGTTTAGATACTGGTCTATAATTTAACAACTAAGGTGTTAACTAACACATAGGTATACAACTGTAACTAATATTGTGAATCTTGTTTATTCATAATTTCATGATATAAAATTTGTTTTGCGCGTATCCTGATCACTAAATCATCAAGGATCACA